CGGTGGGGTGTCCGTGGCTGAGTTTCCAGAGGGAGCGTGCCAGGCCTTTCTTCCAGGGCACCTCCAAGCAGAAGTGCTCTCCCCACCGCCCAGGGAGTCACCGGGTATGCTCCCAGTTTGTCCCCCTGCCCCCACTGGCCCCGCCACGCCCCTGGGGCCCGTCAAGGGGAAGACTTTGTTCTGGCCCAGCCCGACATCGAAAGGGTATGTGTGTGTGTGATCCATGGAGGAGGGGGCTCAGGCACCTACATGGCTCCATTGGTGTAGACGGTGTCTCCGCCCTCCACGTACTGCACCTGGGCAGGGAAGACGTGCTGCACCGGCTGCACCTGCAACGGCAACACGCGGTGGGAGTCACGGCACTGAGAGATCACGTGCTGAACTGCACTGGATAAACCGGCGCCCAGGGAGTGGCTGGGGAGGAGCCAGTGGACCACAGGGGGTGGTCAGGGGGGCAAGCTCTGCAGGGACTCCCCATGCCCCGCCCCAGGAAGCCAGTCTGGTCCAGGGCTGAAATACCAGGCACTGGCAGGGCTGAGGGTGCAGGTGTTCTCCTCCACCTGGTCTCCCACATGCCCTTTGGGGGCCCTGATGCCCCCTCCCTGACAGAGACAGCGGTCCTCAGAGTTAGACTCGGGTGTGAGGGTCTCAGCAGAGGGGGAGGCAGCTTGGCGCTGGGCATGGGAGATCATGCGGGGAGGGCAAGGGGAAGAACCCCTTACCCCATCACATAGTCACTGGCCCCTCCAGTCACTTGGGCCCTCTTGGCCCTGGGGGCAGGGACCAAAAGTCTCATTCATTGCAGAGAAAAATATTAAATATACATGTTTACATATATTCTAAAAATTTATATAAAAATTCTATTGTCTTGAAATACCATTTTCCCATGACCTTTTAGACACCCCTTCGTGTAATCAATAGCAAAGTTTTTTATATATATATGTATATATATATGTATATATATATATATATACACACACACACATACATATGAATATAATAAGGTAAGGAAAATAAAGTCGGTATATAATAATACATGGCTATATAATAATATATAATAACAGGTATATAATGACAATATATAGGTATAAGATGAAATAGGTATATATAAGTGTACCGCATACATATATACCTATATATAGAAGGAGCCCCAGTAGCCCAATTGTTGGTGGCTTGTTGGGCTACGCTCCGCATGGTCGGCAGTTTGAAACCACCAGCAGCTCCGAGGGAGAAAGACTGGGCTTTCTACTCCCGTCGACAGCGACAGTCTCGGGAACCTGCAGGGGGCGCTGTGAGCTGGCAATGACTCCCTGGTAGCGAGTTCGGTTTGGTTAATACACACACGTGATTTTGCTGCTGACCATATGAAGGAGTGTCAAAGATCAGGGGAAATGGAGTTAGAAGACCACAGACTTTTTCCAGGGTGTTTTGTAGCCTGGCACGGCCCTGCATCAGTTTCTCCTGCACCGGCAGGTGACACCGATAGCAGTCTTGGAGTTGTGGGCTGATTCCCGCCCTGCCCCCCAGGGAACAGGAGCCCTGCCCCGCGTGCGTCCTGCCCGGCACGCTACTCTGGACAGGCGCCTTTGCTGTGGATGCTAAGTGACCACTGGGCTTGAAGAAGGGATAGTGTGGGTTTAAGGTCTCAGGGCAATTCTTTTCAGGGGTTCATCCCACTCCAACGGTTCCAGAGGATCCAGGTTCTCTGAGCCCCACCCCCTCTTTGATCAGGGCTTGTCTGCAGAATCTCTGATCAAAATGCTCTGCCACGGTGGCTGGGCACACCGGTTGGTTGGCTAAGGAGGCGGCCGCTCACTGGGGCGGTGGGTCGCACATCCCAGGTCACTGAATTGTACATGTCGAAATGGCTGCTCCGGTTTGTGTTCTGCTGCGGGTTTTAACCACACAGAATAGAGCATTACTTAACAAAACAGCGCCCCGGGCATGACACACCACAGACTGACTGCCGGAGGAGCAAATCAGAGCTGTCCTGGAGGAAGCTCAGTCAGAATGCTTCTTAGAAGTGAGGACGGTGAGACTCTGTCTCACGTACTTTGGCATAGGAGCGGGAGAGACCAGTCCCTGGAGAAGGACATCAGCCTTGGTCAAGCAGAGGGTCAGTGAAAGAAGGGGAGACTCTGTGGGGGGGTGGACTGACACAGGGGGTGCACCAATGGGTTCCGCGCGGTAGTGATTGTGGCGAGGCCCCGGCCAGGCAGGTTGTGTTCGGCCGTCTGCAGGGTCTCTGTGGGTTGGAGCCAACTTGATAGCGCTGATCTGTGAGTGAGGGGACTCGCCTTACCTGCTGCGGCACCTGCTGCACTCGGGGGAGGGAGATGGGCTGCATCGGGGTCCCTTTGGGAGTGGCGCTCGAAGCCTGGGCCAAGACCCGCTGCAAGGGGAGGGTGAGGGGGATGTGTCAGAGGTGTCCGTCCATCCGTCTGTCTGTATACACAGCGCTCACAACCAGACCTGCTGCAAAGCAACGTTGTCCAAGGACGGACACACCACACACGCAGAGCGCACACACCCACGCAGGGGGGCAAACCATCATTCGTGTCCGGCATTGTGCACATGTACACACACGTTAACACATCCAGACACACAACTTCTCATGTGCTCACACACACAGACTCACACTGACA